TTTTTTTTTTTTTTTTGCCATGAAATAATAAAAGTATCTTCATTTCCTTTTGGACAGTCCTCTGGATCAGCATTTAGAAACCAGTGCACTGTGTTACAGCCAATACCTCAACATCTCGGCCAGGTTATCTCTGCTCTCTTTAAAGTAATTAATAGCTTTCTGCACTCCTGATTGGGCTGTCTTTGAGCATCAACATACATAAATAATAAATACAAGTAATAACAATTCCTCTCAAATACCCAAAGTCCTCTACCAGGACTTGAACAGTCCCTATCACCATCAAATAATAAATTCAATTTAAATTCATTGACAAACTCTGCCTGAATAACCTTTATGAGCACCGAGTACTTCAGGCAGCAAGTCCCATTGTGATAGGATGCACGTGTCATTCACCATCCGAACTGGGGCACTTCTGAGAGTGAAAGGTTAATACCAATGTAAGAGAAAGTGCTCTCCCCACCAATTAAGGAATGGCTGCTACTTTAAGGAGTTGTTGTTAAATGGTATAATCATAAATTGAGTGCTATAATCAAATTGTTATGAAAACTCTGAGGACAGAGCAATTAATTTAAGGAGTTGGGAGACTGCAGGGTGGTGATTAGGGGACCTTTCACACAGAAGTCTGGTTTACAGTGAACTAGTAAGATTTCACTCCTAAGAAGAGATTGAGAAGTACACTTCAGAAATGGCAGAGAGCTCATTAAAATCTGGGCTGCAATTTTAATATTGCCAGTTATAATGAAAACTATTAAAATTCATAAAGTATTGTCACATTTCTTACCTTTATAGAGCTTATAAATTTTTAAAATAAAAACAAAATAATGAGCAGCGCTTTCCCCTTGACTGTAGAATATACACACAAGATCTACATTTGAAACTCTACAAGCTGACGAGAAGGAGGGAGGAAAAGTGGAAAGGAAAAAAGAAAGCAAGTGACCGGCACATCCCACAGAACTCTTAATTTTCAGCAGTTTCCAATGTATCTTCTGGATTCAACATAGATTTCAAGGATTTATGTACGGAGCTATATATGGTAAGTATGCGACAGATTCAAAGGCCATATTCTCAGTAGGTATTATCTTTTGTGGCTCTGGGGCCAGCAACAAAAGACAAAGCTAGTCTATGTATAAATCCTCTAAGTTATTGTTTACATTATGATAATTTTTTCACATAATGTAAAAAAATGGAACTTAATGTGTCAGTATCTCACAACTCACACTAAAGATTACACATTTGAATGCAATTCATGTGTGACGCCTTTACCCAGTGCCACATTTTACAAGATTCTCCAAGATTCGACTTTTTTCTCATCACCATGGCAAGCTGGAAAGCTGCCACACTGTTTTTATTTCCTCTTCCTTTGTTAATTTCCAGTATCTCGATTTTCAGCAAAACATCATGGTACTTGGATGCTTATAACAGTATCACCAAGTCAGACAAATACACCTAACCACATAAATTCAACATGTGAACTAGATCAGTGTTTCAAAGTGTGTAAAAAGGTGTAGTCATGGGCCGGGGATTTAGCTCAGTGGTTCTGCTGCATGCCTCACAAGTGCAAGGACCTGAGTTTGATCCCCGGTACCAAATCAAAACAAAAGAAAAAAAGGTGCAGTGATCCCCTACAAGAACTACGGAAATGCCATCTCAGTGAAAACAATAAGGGTTATTCTGGGCAATTAGTGTATAGCATCAGCTAAGTTATAAACTCAATTACTGATGGCTTACCCTCTAAAACTATTTTCAGAAATCATAAAATTTTATAATTAGAAGGGTCTATAGAAGTCAATTAGTGCAACCTTAACTAATTAAAGCTCTGTATTTAAGCTCAGGAAATCATGGACCATGAGTCCACTTATGTTACTTTTTTTAAAATAAGACATTTCCCTTGATTTTCAAAATTCGGGAATAATAATTCCATTTTTTATATTTACACATTTCGCTAGAACAAGCCAAACTCTTCATACGTCCAAGACAGTGTAGGCATAGTAAGCTTGATTTATTTGACTATAATTTAATCCAATTATCTAAGCTCTAAATGTGAAAAAATGAATTGATGTGAATAACTGCTTTGGTCTCACAGTTTTAACTAGGTTATCGGGTGTCACTCATTCCATGACCTCAGGATGCAATGAAGGCAACAATTTCAAATGTCATGCTTTTGCCTGCTGTGATCCACATGAAGATCAGTGGAGTTTAAACATTTTTATATGCTTAATAAGGACAGATTCTTCTACACACCCTTCATATAATCACATGCAAATTTTCCTCATTTGTCTGTTATGTTGACAGAATTATCCAACATGGCTCAAATCACAAAACATCACAAAAATGAGATTTGTTTTCTATGTCCAGTAACTGGCAGAAATAAACATTTAGCCGAAAGCTAAATGGATTTAACCAAGACTGTCCACCAGAAATCCACAAAGCTGAATCCTTAGTAAAAAAGAGAAAGCGGCTTCTCTTTTAAGGGCACATAGCTAATGAAATTTGCTTTCTTTGAGAAAATAAGGTTGTTAATCACACATTATTATAGCCATTCCAACACCTATTCTCTTTCCTTGACCTCAATGCAAGTTCACATTTTAATGAGAAAGTATAAGCAATTCTTTTGTAAAATGCCCACAACCTCAATTTACAGCATAATCACATCCATGCTTACAAAATCTGTCCTTTTCCCTTTGATACAGTTGCACTGCTTGCCCTCCTC